CCCCACCCCTTGAGGGCTTGCCCCACCTCCCCTTCCCTCCTAGGGCCCTGCCCCTCGAGTCTGAACTCCCCCGCCCCCCCGGCAGGTGACTGACATCTCCTGCACACAGCCCCACCTCCCCAGACTCTGCCCCCCCAGCAAGTAGGGGGTGGGGGAAAATGTCACTCATATGTGGCCCCCTCCTCCCGGTTACCCCCTCTCCCCACACATGGGGGGGGATGACATCTCGCTACTCTAATCCCCCCCCAGCTCCCCCTCCCCCGACGGGGGCAGCAGGGCAGTGCCAGGGTCTCTGCTGCCCAGGGGGCCGCACCCGCTACCTGAGTTTCTTCAGGTGGCTCATGTCGGGGTTGATGTCAGCGAATTTCAGCGACAGCTTCCAGACGGTGACCACGAAGATCACGGCGTTGACCTGCCGGGGGCAGGGGAGAGGCGGGTTGGGAGGGGGGCAACTGTGTCCCGGGGGTGGGGGCTATGGGATCTGCCAGCTGTGCAGCCCATGGGGCAGCCCCTTGCCTGGGCCGGGGGCGCCCCACTCCCCATAGTGACCCAGCTCGGCCCCTGGGGGCGGGGGACTGAGGGGGACAGGGGATGACCAGCGAGGGGCCCAGCTGCCCCAGAGTGGGGCCTGGTTGGCAGGCAGGGCTGGCTCCAGGCACCAGCACAGCAAACAGGTGCTTGGGGCGGCCAACGAAGAGGGGCGGCACGTCCGGCTCTTCCGCGGCAATTCGGCAGCGGGTCCCTCACTCTCTCTCGGAGTTGCCGAATTGCCACCAAAGAATGATCGCGGCTTTTTTTTTTTGGCAAAAACGCTGGAGCCGGCCCTGGTGGCAGGTGAAAGAAGCGAGGGCAGCCGACAGCCAGCCACTCAGGGGCCGGCCAGGGGGTCAGGCGCTGGCATGGGGCTGGGCTGGGGGAGGGGGTTTACCGCGATGATGATGCAGACGGGCGCCAGGAAGCTCCAGATGAATTGCTTCTCCAGCGAGAGCCAGCAGCTGTGGGGGAGGGACAGACACGGGTCAGTCACTCACCTGCCAGCAGGGGGCACTGCAGGGTGGGGTCTGCCCCCCCTACCGGCAGAGTGGGGGATGGAGACTTGCCAGCCCTCCTGCCCCCCGGTGCCCGGGAGCTTCCTTGTGTTGTACAAGTGTCCCGGGTTGGGGCCCTGGCCCAAGTGGCAGGAGGGTGCCCCCCTCCCTTACACTGGCCTCACCCACCCCATGGGGGCCCACCCCTCCCCTCCCCTGGTGGGCCCGGATGGCAGCGGCACTCCCGGCTGAGCCGCTCCTGTCCCCGTGTGCTGCCTGGGCATGGTGCCATGTTCCCCTCGAGCCCCTGGCCGGGAGCACTGGGCCTGTCCCCCCTCCCGGGCCGGTGACTCACTGGCGTGCCGTGCCGTAGCCCTTGCTGTAGATGGCGGCCGAGATGCCCACGATGAGGGCCGGCACGCCGTAGCCCAGCAGGAACATGTAGCGGCGTCTGAGGCCGTGGGGGGTGAAGACCTGAACCACCAGCAGGTAGAGCTCGGCGCCCTCCAGGCACATCCAGCAGAAGGCGGCCAGGAAGAAATAGTGCAGGAGCCCGGCCACCACGCCGCACACCACCTGCAGCCAACGGGACGTGGGACGTCAGGGCCGGGCTCCCGGCTCCTCCAGCCCCAGCCCCTGGGGGGTGCTGTGGGAAGCAGTGGGAGGGGGGGCAGGGCTCCCCGCTACTTCAGGCCCAGACACTGCAGGGCACTGTGGGAAGCAAGGCACGACCACCGGCTGTGGGATAGCTCTTGGCTTCTCCAGCCCCAGCCTGTGCCAGCAGCGGGTGCAGTGGGGAGCAGGGCCCGAGGTTGCCTGGGGGAGAGCTCCCAGTGGGGGGCACTGTGGGGAGCACGGCTAGAGGCTGGCTGGGGGGGCGCTGTGGGGAGCGGGGACCGAGGCTGTCAGGGGAGCCAGGTACCCTGTTGCCGGTGCTGGAGGTGCCGGTGAGGAAGACGGTGTAGGCGATGAAGAGCGCCAGGCAGAGGTGCAGGTGGATGGTGGTGCGGGGGCCCTTGAGGGCGCGGCAGAAGAGGAAGGTGACGATGGACAGCAGCAGGCACAGCAGCGAGATCACCAGCCCCACCTTGGTGATGATGTCCAGGGTCCAGTCCTGTGCCGGGGGTGGGGTGGGGTGAGGGGGTTAGTCAGGGTCCCCGTCTCCTCCCCACAAGGCAGCAGCCAGGCTGGGCTTTAGGGTACAGCTGGACTAGCCTGTCGGCCTCGCTCTGCGCCAGGGCTGGGAGAGCCCCCTAGTGGCGACACTGGGAAGTCTGCGGGAACCAGTGTCTCGCTGAGTCCAGCAGCCCAGATGGATTCGATGCTGCCCAGCCTGCCCCTCCCGCCCCCCCCGAGGGGCTGACCCACAGCCCCAGGGCCATGGGAAGCCGAGGGGGCTCTAGGGTCACCACCAACCAAGGGGGAATCCCTGGCACTGATCCCTGCAGGACGGGGGCGCCAGAAAGTGCGAGGGGCCGGGGCTGTTCCCCGGAGCAGAGAGCAGAGCGCCCCCGCCTGGCGGGAGGAAGCCCCTGCCCAGGAGGGAGCTGCTTTTAGACCAGACGGACGCGCTTGTGGCTAAGGTGCTGCAGCTCAGGACTCCTGGGTTCTACCAGCTCTGGGAGGGGAGCAGGGTCTGGGGGTCAGAGCAAGGGTGCTGGGGGTCAGGACTCCTGGGTTCAATTCCCAGCTCTGATGTCACCTCCCCGTGTCTCCTTGAGTGAGGCATTTAACCCCTCCCTGCCTCTGGGACATGGGGATGGGGATGGGGGCTGTTCCCTGCCCTGCAATGCAATGGCGTGAGCCCCCTGCCCTGCTGCCTGGCCAGGTGGGCAGACATGTCAGTCGCTGCTACGTGGGGAGTCTCCCTGTGCTCTTGGGGATAGGGGGGCTGCTTCTGCCCCTGATCAGATCCAGGGCCCCGCCCGCCGTTGGGGAATGGCTTTACTCCGGAGTGACTCCTGCTCCGCTGGGGGGGATTGAGGGGAAGAGCAGAACCAGACCAGTCCCGAGGCCCCAGCGAGGGCTGCACCTACCTCCAGCTCGTAGAAGGCCATGAGCACGGCGAAGCTGGTCAGGTGGTTGCACTGGCAGCGGGTGATGGTGGCGTTCAACTTCTGCAGGGTGCAGCCGTGGGTGGCCCAGCGCCTGCTGCCAGGCTCCCAGTAGGCGCAGAGGAGGCGCAGGTCAGTCTTCGACTCCTGGGGACAGAGAGACACTTGGTGCATGGGGGGCAGCCCCGAGCTCCCCAAGCCCTGAGAGGGCAGGTTGGGGGGTATGAGGGGCTGGGCTGGGCTGGGCTGGGGGCACAGAGCATCAGTTTGTCCCTGGGTGGGAGGTGGATTCACCTACTGCCCAGGGTGGGGGCTGTCACTAGAGATGGGCCCAGCTCTGCCCTCCAGCGCCCCAGGCTCTCCTCCCCCCATGCCCAGCCCAGGGGCTCACCGGCACCGGGTGGCTGAAGCGGATGCTGACGGAGAGGCCGAGTGCCTGGGGGTTCGGGTCACTGATGAAGGCCGACGCCACCGGAGACAGCACACGGTAGCTGGGCCGCCCGGGCTCCTGCGCCCGCTTCCTGGTCTGGCCGATCTCGTTCCACTCGGGCGCCTCCACCCGCCCAGCACCTTCCAGGATGGAGCTCATCCCCTGGTATGTCAGCAGCCCTGCCAGCGTGAAGCCTGCGAGAGACAGAGGAGACGGATGAAATGGGGGGCAGGAGGGGCCCTGGGGCAGACTGGTGCCAGGGGGCGCTGTGCTGCTGGCGGTGCTGCCCCCAATGCCCTGGCCGTGCCCATCGCTATACACACCCCAGGACAGGCAATGACCACATACCTTCATTTTTCTGCCCTGGGGCTCTGGCCCACTTTAATTCCATCTGCGTCTTGCTCTGCTGCAGCGTCACCGTCTCCTGGCTCTGGTTCCCAGCCTGCCTGACCGCCAGCCCCAGCTCTGCAACCACAATGCCGGCCAGGGCTCAAAACAGAGACATGGAGAGGAAGACTGTAGCCAGGCAAGGTGCTTTCCTGACTGTGGGGGGAGCTCCTGACTACTCCAGTCCCAGCCTCTCCCAGCAGGGGCTGCTTTGGGGAGCAGGGCCGGAACACTGGCTGTGGGGGGAAGTACCCATCCCCCAGCAGGGGGCGCTGTGCTGCTGGCGGGGCTGCCCCCAATGCCCTGGCCGTGCCCATGCCGATAACACACCCAGGACAGGCAATGACCACATACCTTCATTTTTCTGCCCTGGGGCTCTGGCCCATTTTAATTCCATCTGCGTCTTGCTCTGCTGCAGCGTCACCGTCTCCTGGCTCTGGTTCCCAGCCTGCCTGACCGCCAGCCCCAGCTCTGCAACCACAATGCCGGCCAGGGCTCAAAACAGAGACATCGAGAGGAAGACGGGAGACAGGC